ACCTGCTGGCGTGGCTTTTCTTCTCCTCTTGGCTGTTTTACAGCACTACTTCTGCATACAGAAACGAGCGCGTCTGCAGTTTTCTCCACCATGTCTATCATACATCAGCTGTGAGATCGCCGCTGCCACTCAGTGTCACTCATCTGTGAATAGCGCAACGCGCAAGAGCCAATCGCAACCGTTTTTGTTGAGGGTGTGACCAATCAAAGAGTTGTAAGAGAACTAGACAAGGATCAGAAAGATATTTATATTTGTTTATATTATTTGCTAAATGCTCGTGTTGTTTAAAGGTACAGTTTATATTTCAGACTGTTTGTATTGAATGACAAAATTGTATTACAAATAGTATATAAATATATTCATACATTTTAATACAAGAACTGCTGCTGTGAAGAAAATATAAAACTGTGTATGAAAAGCACCGTCAATGCACCATGATATCGAATTGAACCGAATCGATGGCATGATAATCGTCACCGAACCGTGAGACTAGTGTAGGTTCACACCTCTAATACAAATTAATTAAAATACTACATTTCATTAATTATAATACATAATATATTACGGTTTTTAATTTGATCACTTGGTCCCACGTTATATTAGACGGCCTTAACTAATATGTACTTGCGATGAAATTTAATCATTTGTTACAACGCAATTATGTAAATAGATGTTTTTACATTGTACTTATGATTGAATAAAGGCCAGCATGTAATTAAATCTGCTATTAATTTATGTGATTACATTTATGATATGTACATTGTATTTATTTTCTCATGTAAATACAAAGCAGTTAAGGCCACCTGAAGCCTCCTTTTCACTGCACACGACAAGCAACAGACCGGAAGTCATTCATTTCCAATGGATAGTAGTCCGGGAGTTGCGTGAAGTTCCGATCATCTCCCTATGCGGGAAAATTCGGATTCGAATTGAGCTGCGGATCCGTTGAAATATTTGAACTCTTGCGACTAGACCGTATGCGACCGGCCGACCGGATGTGATGTATTAAAGTGTTGTTCAAGCAGATCCGTGTGCGCAAGATGAGAAATAGGACTTGATTTGGTTATTTATATATTTTATATAAAAAATATTTTGGTTATTTTGTTCGGTTATTTTGTTAATAAATGTAAAAAAAAACATTTCTATTCATAAATGTAAGTAATAAAGTAATAAAAATATAATGCTTCATGTTGTCTCCACATTCCCTCCAATATTTTTAGAGTTTCTAGTATTCATTCATTATTTCATTCAACCGTGGAGAATTGCTTTTGCACTCCTTTATTTCGGACACTGCGAGAACAGCTTCTCCCATGGTGCACGTCAGAACTAAAAAATTTAACTGCCACAAGGGGGCGTATTCCGACAGTCATGTCCAAATGTCGTGTGCAGTGGAAAGGCGGCTTAATTTAAAGTGGGACAGATAAATCTAATAGCATCTTAATGGAATTTGAACACAATATATCCATCTGCACTTCCAGGTCTACTAACCGAGATCATAACCCCGGTAAATGATGTTCTTGGCCACCTGGAAGGCCAGCAGGAGGTTGCGTGGATCTCGTTCTCCATCCACTGACTGTACGAATCCAAAGATGAAGTCTGCGCCCAAACCTTTGAGCTCTGAAAAACAAGAGAGATTTGAGAGCTGATGCTTTGCACTGCCTATTTTCTAAATACAAACACAATATTAGAACTGCTTTTGATGATTATCAGAGCAAGGACATTTTTCACATTATTTCCTATTATGTTTTTCTTTTAGAGGAAGTGTTTTTTTTCCCTTTAGTTGGGCTGAAAAAAAAAAGCATTTAAAAACTGCTAAGCTTAAAATGATTATATTTCTATAATCTATATATTTTTCTAGTTGGCTACGGAACAAACAACTATTGTCCAATGACTTAATTAACGATAAATAACCTAATTTGCCTAGTTAACCTAATTAATGGAGTTAAAGAGCCCCTATTGTGGGTTTTTGAAAATGACCTTCCACGTAGTGTCCAACACAGCTCTAAGTAAAGTGATAAATCCAGCTAAAGATTCCTACACACCGGGAAGTTTTTAGTTTGCGTTTATCGTCAGCGTTTTACGAGAGGTTTTTCAGTGTTCAAACCCAAGCGCTTTTCACTGGCGTCAAGCAGACGAGTATGCTAAATCACTCTTTTGACGTTAGATGGCGCTGCACAACTTTAAGCTTCTGACATCCGCTTATAACACAGAAGAAGAGGAAGTTCCCACGTTTGTTTATAAAGTTACTGGTGACTCGAACAAGCATGGATGGTTCAAGCAGCAGCTCCAGCTCTAGCGATGTAGAAATGATTATTGTTCATTAAGCAGCAATAAGCAGCTCCACGTTCATATCGCTTCGGGGCATCTTCTTCAGTGTGCGCTCGCATTGAAAGTTTTGTGCTTGAGCACCTCCAAGTGCTGTTTACTGTAACTTCAGCAGCTCCGTGCACGTGAACAAAAGTGCCGATCTGATTGGTGGAGAAGGTTTTGACGCCGCACGTCAAAACAAAAAAATGAGCATGAGGCGTTTTTTTAAAATGACGCTTTTGCGCCTGGCGTTTTGCGCGTTGGTGTGTATCACACATCACATTGACGCTTTAATTAGTTACGAGGCGTTAAACGTCGACGGAAAATGCGAGCAAAAAACATCTCGGTGTGCACGGGCCTTAAGACGTATTAGTGTAAACGGGGCCTGAGAGTGTATTTTTCACGAGCAGGTTTGCAACGAGGGCGGGGTGGAGGATTGGCGATGCCAGCTCAGCATAGTGTTGTCTATTGGCGGCGATTGACAATGGCATCGTCTATCGGCCCAACCCTACTGGTCACTTCAGGTCGGGATAACAAGATATGAGAAAATGAGTGCCGTATAGCAGCAGAGAAGAGATTGTAAAAAATAAAAGGATTTAAGGATGTTGGCAGAGTGGTTTTTTGGTTTCTTTTCTTGTGCATCCCAGCCACTAGCACCCTATCTGAAAGATTTCTTAGCATAGCGGGTAATGTAGTCATTCAACTTGACAATTTGTAATGCTGCGGTGTGTATTTGAATAATGATGATTGGATTTGTCTTGATGAGAGAGTTTGAGGTTTATTGTATCACTAATATTCACACCTTAAAGTTTGCTTTGATTGTTCAGCATTTACGCTTTACCATTGTACAAAGTCTCTTTAACACTTTATTTTACTTTAAAGAGATGAGATATTTTGTTTCAATATTTTTTTGAATATTAAAACTACTTGCCTTAATAATGTTGGTAAATTAAAGTGGTTAAATAAAAAAATATCTTAATATTCCAAAATGTATTGCTCAAATTTTTCAATAATTATCGATATTGAATGATTTGAAACATATGATTTTGCAATATCGCCCAGCCCTAATAATTAGTAAAATCGAATGCACTTATACGATCATACGTCATCATTATGAAGAAAATGATTTAGTTTTTAACACTATTTTACTTTAAAATATTTTGAAAAACGTCTCTCTGTTATGCTGTGTTCACACCAGACGCAGAACGCGCAGATAAATCGCGCTATTAGCGTGTAAATTGCCGCGTGAACATTTGAGTTTACTCGCTTCATTCGCACGTCAAACCCTGCTTCATTCGCGTGTGAAATCCGCTTCGTTTGCGTGTCAAATTCAATTCAGAACAGACGCGGATTCGCATGATGGGCAGGGCTTCTGTCTGCCCGGTGACTGTAGCTTCATTGCTAAATGGCTAACATGGATTTTATGAAGAAAATAACAGTGTTTATGTGCTTTATGAAGACTGTAAAACAGCGTCAATACGTTTGGGACCGTGTCTGAGTCCACTACATGCTTTCAGAGGTGCATCCAGCTCTGTGAGCTCATAAACTCCTCCAGAAACTGAACCTGGATGATGGAGACTTTCAACGGTGCTTCTGACTGAGCCAAGCCCAGTTTGATGACTTGTTGGCGTTGTCGCCTGAAGGATTTGCTCCGGGACACCCATCAACAGGTTCTACGTCACAATCACGCCCCCACAAGAGGAAGCTTCTGAAAACGCGGCGCGAATGTCCGCTGAAGTTCAGATTTTCGAACTCGAGAGATTCGTGCGAAATGCACGTTAAGCGCGTCAAACGCCCCGCGCTATTCGGACCGCGCCATTCGCGCAATTCGCGGCCGCCATTCGCACGTATCGCGCCGCAGGACGTCTATTAGCATGTTTGCATTGACTTAACATGTAAATCACTCGCGCTTGACACGCGTTCCGCATCTGGTGTGAACGCAGCATTTCACTTCACTTCAAATATTTGGAAAACACATAACATTTTCACAGGAGGGCAAATCCTTTTGTCTTCAACCGTAGGTCCCTTTAAAGGTGAGAACATTTTATACCTTCCTCTCTGGACTCCATCAGACTGATAAGAATGTTGTAAACACATGATCTCTCCGTCACCATCAGGGACTGTTGCAGAGGAATAAAACAGACGAATATTACAATTGGTTTGTTAATAAAAGTATAAGAATGACTTTGAAGAATGAACTTCAAAAATGTAGATTAGTTAATGTTTATATAGAGTTACTGCCACTTAGATTACACAGAAATACTGTATATCAGCTTACGGCAAATAATAATATACTTAGCTAAAGATATTGTGCATCACTTTTCAGAAGTTTCAAATGCAAGGCTGTATTAATTTGATTACTAAAAACAGTAATATTAAGCAATATAAAAAAACTTAAAATCTCTTTTCCATTGCGTTATATTAGAAAATGTACTTTTAATCACTCTGTAAAACCCTTTTCGTTATGTTAATTTACACATTTGCTATTTATTCATCTTTGTTAACGTTAATAAAAAGTACAATTGTTAGTTCTTGTTAACTCACAGTGACTAATGTTAACAAGGTCAACTTGGAATTTAATAACACATTAGTAAGTGATGAATTATAAGTAATAAATGCTGTACAAGTATTGTTCATTCTTAGAGGAGATTGTTAGTGAACACATTAACTAATGGAACTTGTAAATAAATTGTGAACATAAGTCTTTCGGAAACAATTCTTATATATAAAAACGACAATATTTTGATATTTTGTTACATTATAAACGCCTTTATGGTCAGAGGCTTTAGAACAGTAACAAAAAATATATCTTATATGAGAAGAGGTCAAAGAAAATTTTATTGATTTATACTACATTCAAGCTAAAACAATTACCTGAACGTGAACATCCTGGAAGATGGATTTCAAAATGGACACCGCTGAACCGGGAGGCAGAACGGAGCATTTAGCCTGAAAGAAAAGCCAAAAATCAATGATCAGATTGCCAATAGAGTCAATAATTACATGCTCATTTAAAAGTAAAAGTGCTCACTCACCAAAGCTTTGAGCCCTCGAAGAACATGTGGAGTGATAACATAGTGATCCTTCAGTCTGTTTTCATAGAACGCTATCAGGACCTCCACTGCAAACACAGAATGTTAGATAAGCCAAACACAAAGCATCATTCTACCTGAGCCCTTTTTTTTACTCATTTTTATTATTTGTTTTTATTTTATTTGTTTCTTTTATTCTTGTTTATGTAAAGCACTTTAAATTGCCACTGTGTATGAAATGTGCTATATAAATAAACTTGTCTTGCCTTGCCCTATACCACACAAACACATTACATTTACAGTAAAAAAAACAAAAAAAAAACAGCATTGTTCTACCTGAAGCCTATACCACACTAAAAACATTACCTTTACGATAAAAGAAACATCAGTTGTGGTTGCTAGAATTTTACAGTAAAAAATACGGTAGCATCATAAAACAAATGTCAAAAATTTAAGGTAAATTACTGTATTTCCTTCAACAAATAATAATAAAAAGTTACCATAATAATAATAACGTTGACAAAAAAAGCATATAACGTGAAGTGTCAGGCAGGGAATCCAGGGAAAGTGTATTTATGGTTATCAACCCTGTATAGCAGGGGTTCCCAAACTTTTTAGCCCGCGACCCCCAAAATAACAATGCCAGTGACTCGCGACCCCCAATATCCTCTGAGGTGGTTATAAATACAGAAACCTTGCATGCAATAGCGCAGACACACCAATTAAATTTGTGTCAGTGCTTAAAATGTGCCAGAAAGTATAACCTGATGTTATAAAATCAAAAAGCATCTGACGCTATTGCTGCCTTTAATATAATGTAATTACCCCAGGGGTCGCAATCCAATAGAACTAGTAACTATAAGCTACTATAGTAACTATATAGTATATAGTAACTATAAACGACAATATTTATTTTCAGAATAGTTATGGATAAAATATGTTAATTCTTATGGTTTCATAAAAATAAATAGATTTTTGGAAATCACCAGGCGACCCCACTTCATTGCCCCACGACCCCTCGGGGGGTCCCGACCCCCACTTTGAGAACCACTGCTGTATAGTAAGGAAACCTACTGTGAAACAGATAAGATTTTACTATAGAAGTCACTGACATATCTTTTATATATAGTGCCAACTGTATATATGTGTGTGTGTATATTTGTGTGTGTATGTATGTATAGATCCCTTGTGTATTATTCACCCTTCTGTATTACTCCGCCCACACGAGTAACAAGCAGAATATAAGCAAATATTGCTGCTGTTGGACAACATCATGTAATTGAGGCTTTTTTAGTCGAGAATGTAGTTGTTTAGATTGCAACTATGCAGTTCATTTATAAGGATCGTGCCTATTTTAAATATTTATAATTTCTGAGAGAGAGCGCGTTGGCGCCGTCAGCCTGTCATACTGAGCAGAGCAAAGACGGCTGACGTTCCGCCACAAGATGGCGACAAAGACAGCATAATAAGTCCTTAGGGGAGAAAACCAGCAGTTTTTCAACATACGTTTCAAACTACAGCTGAATAAATCATTATAGAACAGGTAAGTGACATTTTAAGTCGACCTCTCTCTTTTGTATTTTGTAGTGCTGTATTAATACCATAGTAATCCGGTAGTGTTTGCTTTGCTCTGGCTTTTTCAGGGTTAATTATTGTGATCTCCTGATTGCAACAGAAAAATACTGGGAAATATATGTAGACTGATGGCATTTCGTGCTGTTCAGCCTTATAATCTTAAATTGTGAGCAAAATCAGCTGTTTAGTCATCACTTTAAACATTACGCTAGAGAATCATTCATCGTCTTTTCTGACGTCAGCTGCAGATGTGAATAAAGGGCGGAAGAAAGTAGATATTCATACTTCATACTCTCGGTGTTTGATTTTCTTTTTTATAGACACTGTTATATTGGATAACTTATGTTGGATGTGATAACTAGAGCTACAAAACTAGTATTTAGCACTGTTCACTTGTGTGACTGGATTAACAAAATAAATCCTAATACCATGTTGTCAGCGCAGCACTGAAGGAATTAATTCTAATCAAAAGTAAGTCTTGAGGAATGTCTCACCCTCGCGCTCTGACAGGCCGCTGTAGCATTCCTGCAAAACCTGAGAAAGCAGCTGAACTCCTCTGCCACGAGTCTGAGGCTGAGAGCTGGTCAAACTCACCCTACAATCACAAACATAACATACACACAAATATAAAATAAGGTTTATAATGCATTTCTCACAGCGGACACAAATCACCAATGGAGTCTAATGAAAAAACTACATAAATGCAGACATTAAATTCATACTTTTATTACTGTTAGCACTACTTGTACTTTTATCTAGGGATGCAAACATGTATATACTGGGGATGGATGGATGGATGGATGGATGGATGGATGGATGGATGGATGGATGGATGGATGGATGGATGGATGGACATTAATGTTTATGGATGGATGGATGGATGGATGGATGGACATTAATGTTTATGGATGGATGGATGGATGGATGAATATTATTCCGGATGGATATTAATGTTTATGGATGGATGGATGGATGGATGGATATTATTCCAGATGCATGGTAATGTTTATATATGGATGGATGGATGAATAATATTCAGGTTGGATAATAATGTTTATGGAAGGATGGATGGATGGATGGATGGATGGATATTATTCCAGATGGATATTAATGTTTATGGATGGATGGATGGATGGATGGATGGATGGATGGATGGATGGATGGATGGATGGATATTATTCCAGATGCATGGTAATGTTTATATATGGATGGATGGATGAATAATATTCAGGTTGGATAATAATGTTTATGGATGGATGGATGGATGGATATTATTCCAGATGGATATTAATGTTTATGGATGGATGGATGGATGGATGGATATTATTCCAGATGCATGGTAATGTTTATATATGGATGGATGGATAAATAATATTCAGGTTGGATAATAATGTTTATGGATGGATGGATGGATATTATTCCAGATGCATATTAATGTTTATATATGGATGGATGGATGGATGGATGGATGGATATTATTCCAGTTGGATATTAATGTTTATGGATGGAGGGATGCATATTAATGTTTATGGATGGATAGATGGGTGGAAAGATAGATGATATAGAAAACTTTACCCCAATGCTTCAACCAGTTGGAGAACTGTGAACTGCCCGTTCTTGACACCTTAAAAAATGAAATAAACTGAAGCCTTAGATAAAATATTTGTAAACAAAATGTAATGATTTCATATGTTTTTATGTCTTGTAATGTCATTTTTCATAAAAAATGGGTTGTGCGGTTCACATAGTACATACTTGATAAAAAAAATACATATCAATTTTACTCAGTGGGACAAAAAATAGTGCAGATGCAAATACTTATATAGTAATTAAAAGAAGCATGAAATTCTGCTAACTTCCATTAAAATAAATAATAAATAGAGTATATAGTATTTCTTTAGTATATAGATTGTTTGTATTTTTGCTATTACTAAAATTATTATATATTTACGTTTCTCTTGTAGTGTTTTATTACATTTATGCACCCAGGGTTTGAGAGTAAAGTCATTTCTGTATGTCTGTGCATGAGGCAGAATTGACAACAAAGCTGACTTTGACTGAGATTAGACTTGCATAAAACGAAAACAATTATATTTGAGGATATAAAGCAGGGGTCACCAATCTCAGTCCTGGAGGGCCGGTGTCCATGCAGGGTTTAGGTCCAACTTGCCTCTACACACCTGCCTGGGTGTTTCAAGTATACTTAGTAAGACCTTGATTAGCTTGTTTAGGTGTGTTTGATTAGGGCTGGAGCTAAAACCTGCTGGACAATGGCCCTCCAGGAACAAGTTTGGTGACCACTGATATAAAGTGACTGATATGCGTATGATAGATAAATGCTTAATTTTTTAAAATCAAAAATTTAGTTTTCATTGTCGACAGCAAACACAAATGACGATTGAGGGATGTACAAATTATTGCATCTCCAAAAGCTTTATTTATAAAAGAGAGAGACGAAATTCTCCTTTCAGTTACGCAAAATAAAAATTAAAGTTATAATATGACTTACAATGCAAAATTGAAATTGAGCTCCAAATTTAATCTTTAAAATATATTATAAATAATTTTCCATTTCCAATCAGCACAACAGATACAAATATAAACTTAATTTGTCTTTCTGTCAAATGAATAAAGAATGATACTGGCAAAATATGCCAGCAATTTAGTATATAAACTCCTACTATTATTTTTACATTGAATTAAATTTTACTGGGTGTCTTGTGTAAATCATGTTAAAAATGAGGTAAAGTTGGTTTTACATTCACACATTCGTGACGTTCTCCTTAATAATATCATTTCCAAAAAGTATTTCTTGCAAATACTAAATAGTGAAATCATATTAGCAGCCAATGACTATCAAAGTACAACATTGTTCACAGTCAGTTAAATAGTGCTGCTGTTGTTTTGAAGTCATACTAGCACGTGATTTCAGACCAACTATCCAAAGTAGCATGGTAAACATATAGGGAGCTTGTTAGAAGTAGTCACTGAACAAATGTGCAAATATATAACTTCACCTCAATGTAATATTTACTGACTTTACACAAAAGTGGCTTTTGATTGTAATTATTAATATTTAGAGGTTAAAATACAGCAAGTTTCCAAGTATTAAAGCAGTTTAATGTAGAACTACAAATAGTACAAATGCACACTGAGGTAAAGTTGGTTTTATATAAACATATTCAGACTTTTTACTTAATATAATTTCACAAAATAATTCTAAATAGGAAAATCATATTAGCAGCCAATGACTATCACAGTACAACATTGTTCACAGTCAATTAAACAGTGCTAATGTTGTTTTTAAGTCATATGTACATCACATTTCACACCGAATATTCAAAGTAGCAAGGTTAACATTATAGGGACCGTGTCACAAGTTGTCACTGTTAAAAAAAATAAACGAATGTGGGACTATTTAACCAACTTTACCCCAACACTGAGAGTACACTGCAAGGTTCACTGAAGGTGCTCTGCTAGCAGCCTAGCAGACAATCACCCAAACAGTGAATAAAGAAGACGACGCCATGGCAACTCGTGTTTTGGAGGAATTAACAATCAAAAATGTCGTGCAATTGTAACAAAGGTTTGCTGTTTGTGTTGAGCGCCTGTCAGCAGCCACAGTATGTGTGTGTGTACAGGATGTGGTGGCTAGCTTTCGGCATTCAGACACAGCATCACACGCGGCTTTTCGGAGAGCTTTATTTTGCAGTCAGCGATCAAAGTGGCGAGAAACGGGGGAGACGAGATAGATTGATGGATGAGATACCTGTCGACGTGTCTGCAGCCTTGCTATCAACCTGTCCGGACACGAATTCTTCCACTAAACCCAGCAGCACATTGTTATCCGCGGCCATCCTGAAGAGCAGCCAGTCAGGGCTTCAAACTGAGCCGCGCATGCGCACTGCAGCCGCGGCGACCGCGATTAATACCTGACAAAACATCTGTTTACAACTCTTTTCTTATGTTTGATGACTTTTACATTTTGCTTTTTCCAATATGTATTTTTAATGTACTTTTTTTGCTTTTTTATTTTTTCATTGTTAAAGATAATTATTTTGTCCATTTGGTATTGTATGTATGCATATATTGTATATACTGTTTTGGCCTTTATAAAAATAAGAAAACTCTCTGTTTTCATTTTATTAAGTAAAAACACAACAAGAGTAGTTTTTTAAAAAATTCACATCCATAAAAATTCAAGCAATCGCCTCACAGCAAGAAGGTCGCTGGTTAGACCCTCGGCTGCTCAGCTGGGTCAGTTAGCATCTGTGTGGAGTTAGCATGTACTCCCCGTGTTGGCGTGGCTTTCCTCGGGGTGCTCCGGGTTTCCCCCACAAGTCCAAAAACATGCGGTACAGGTAAATTGAGTAGGCTAAATTGTCTGTAGTGTATGGGGGGGACTTTTATAGACAGACCATTTAGAAACAGGTGATTAATAATTATATGAATGTAAACTTTTGGATTTCATACAGCTGCCCCCCACTTTTAAAATGTCCACAACGCCCCTGTGTGTGTGAATAAGTGTGTATGAATGTTTCACAGTGTTGGGTTGCAGCTGTAAGGGCATCCGCTTTGTAAAACATATGCTGGATAAGTTGGCGGTTCATTCCGCTGTGGCGACCCCAGATTAATAAAGGGATTAAGCCGACAAGAAAATGAATGAATGAATTTAAAAAATCTATAAAAATACAATTTGTATTGTTTTGATAATAATTTTATTTCTTATATTTGAAAATGATGAATTTCGAGACCAGTCCTTTGAAAGTAATTAAAAAAAAGTGTAAAATTAAACAGTTAATGATATAATTTTGCTTTTCAGTAGATTCAGTTTTGCAAATAAATTGTTGTTTTTTGTCTTTTGCGTTTATTATTAATGCAACCGAAAATGAGGGGTTGGTATTAGTTCAAAGTGACTTCTGTATGGAAATTTAAATAAAATTTAAATATAAATAAATACATTTGTCAAGCACTTTAATGAATATTTTTAATATTTTCAAATTATTTTAGTATCTGATGATTCATTTGCTCCTTTCAGACTGAAACGCAGGTGGGAAACTTGTAAATTGCAGTCAGAGATTTAAAAAAAATAGTGGAGATGAGAACCTCTGGTTCAATATAATTCGTGAGAAGCATGAACTTCCTGACACTAATAACTGGTCTCATAAAATGTCAATTATTTTTGTTGTTGTTGTTATTTTAATTGTATCATAGCAGAGATGTTTGTAACTTTTAAACTTACTTTTACCAAACGTTGCACAAGAACAATATGCACAAGCAGAATATGCTGAAAAAGTACAAGAACTCTCACAGTAGGCTACCAATGAATGCTTGACAGAAGCAATGACATGCTTATATGTTAAATAGCTTCATTGCAGGCAAATACACTCACTTTCAATCTTAAAAGGATAATTCACCCTAAGCTGAGAATTCCCTTAAGCCAGGGGTGTCAAACTCAATTCCTGGAGGGCCGAAGCCCTGCACAGTTTAGTTCCAACCCTGCTCCAACACACTTACCTGTAGGTTTCAAACAAGCCTGAAGGACTCAATTAGTTTGATCAGGTGTGTTTAATTAGGGTTGGAACTAAACTGTGCAGAGCTGAGTTTGACACCTGTGCCTCAAGCAATCCAAGATGTATGTGACTTTTTTTTTCAGTGGAATATCAAAGACAGTTTGACTATATCTGGACTTTAAGAGTCAAAAAAGGTTTAATGATTCCACTTAAATCTTTTTTAAATGTTCTACTAAACGGAAGGTTTCCGACATCTTGGATGACCTGATGGTAAGTAAATTCCCTTTTAAAGGACGGACAGTTCACCCAAAAAATGAAAATGAGGTCATCATTTACTCACCAACTACTAGCTTCAGACCTTTCTACTATTGAACACAAAAGAAGATGTTTTGAAAAATGTCGGAAACCAGTAGCCATTGACTTTAATAGTATTTTTGTTTCTACACTGGCTAGTTTTTAAGATTCTTTAAAATGTCTTCTTTTGTGCTCAACAGAAAAACAAACTTATAAAGATTTTATGGTGAGTAAATGGCGAGTAAACTATTAAGGTAAAGTTGGTTTTATATTCATAGCTACATTAGTTCAGTGACAACTTATTTTGTTCACTACAGTACTTTAAATATTGGGTTACATTTGAGTTATTGGGTTACATATCACATGAAAGTTTGACTTTAAAATAACATTTAGCACTAATTATTTGACTGCGAACAATGTTGTACAGGGTGGGCCATTTATATGGATACACCTTAATAAACGTATTGGGAATTTGTACAAGAAAACAATGGTGTGCTTGGTTTTAACGCAACTTTATTCTTTCATGAGTTATTTACAAGCCCCCTCACATATCCATATAAATGGCCTCTTAAACATTAAGAAGGTGAAAGTCTGAATGTGCAAATATAAAACCAAGTGTGTGTGTGTGTGTGTGTTAACCATATACAGTAAATTTGCTCAATAATGTTAAAGATATTAACGAACAAACCCATAAAATTACTGTAGCCTTATTTTCCAACGGAGTTTGAAGCTTCCTCTAAAGCATAGATATATACACTAGATATCGCATAGGGACCCTGAGCATGCGTCAATAGCGCCGCCACATTGCTACAGTGCTCCCAGGACAAATGTCATTCAGCCGCACTAGACAAGACAGTGTTGCTACGTGAAGATGCGGGGCTTCAGCGCTGTCTACGGGTGTAGTAACGAGCAAACAAAGAAAACAAAGCACAAAGGCAGAACATTTCATAGGTAAGATTAAGTTTTTTACGTTTTTGTGAGTTCTGAACTTTTGTGCTAATCAGGTAGCGTTATTGATGATAATACAGTCACTTACTGCATTCACCATAAGGCAAAGCAGCTCCAACTCACACAAATACTCGGCTTATGCTAGTTTTGTTGAATAAAATCAGCAAACAATGCAAAATAAATATGACAACGAGATGCTGCGTTGCCAGAAACTTGTATTATTGTCGGCTAGTGAACGAGTGCGATCACTGATCAATGTAGAAAAGTGATGTCAAATTATAATTTTCGTAATTTAAAAAAAATGCATACTAACATCCAGGAAAACTCCCGACACACACATACACACACACACACACATATATATATATATATATATATATATATATATATATCCAGGTGGATGCTGCACACTGGTGGTGGATGAGGAGATCCCCCCCATTGTGTAAAGAGCTTTGAGTGCCCAGATAAGCACTATATAAATGTAAGGAATTATTATTATTATTAATATTATTATTATTATTATTATTATTATTATTATTATTATATCTCTGGCTTCGGATGGCCACAGTCCTCCTCTGTACCTTGGTCCCGCATTCATTTCAAAGGAGCGCTACCCTGTTCCAAAATGGCGGCTCTATTCACGCATTCCTTCCGATAGACAACAACAGGGTAGGCGATATCTAATGTATATATCTATGCCTCTAGAGCAGCGGCTCTGGTGGAGTCACATGTCCAGAGCGCGCATGCGCAGAAAACACCAGTAACGTGAACTAGTTGGAAACATCAGTAGGGGGAAAAGGTGGACTAGCGAGAGATAAAGAACTCAGGCAGGCTTTGCGACGCCTAGATGTTTTGATATACTTTAATCCGAGCATGGAGCAGCCTGTAAATCTCAAACACTAGTCTTGTTAGTGTTGTTTTGTCCTCTTCTAGTGGATTTACGAGTTAAAGCTCGTGCTCCGGCTAACTTAGCTGCTGTAAGTTAGCTCGTGGGATAAAGCCAGAAATAACTAAACGCGAGTCTCGTGCCAGATCACCGATAGATCATCGCGAGCTGGTAAAGTTTTTACTTCTGGTCGCTTTTTTGCATTGGAGGCTTTTCTTTAACGCACAAACTGTTCGTATATCACTTATAACGTCACTACTTGTACTTTGTAGTAAAGTTACACTTTCCTTTCGCCGGATCTAATGATAATAAAGCAGGAGTGTAAATAAATAGCTGTTGTCTTGAGATGTGGCCTGCGTTTGATTGACAACCATGGGAGGATGCGTGGGGCGCGAGCGCGCGGAGACACGGGGACGCGGATCGAGGACGCAGAGGAAACGTGGAGGTGAGACGCTAATTCAATTAAACTCAGTTTTAATTAACGTTATATAGCGCTTTTTACAGTAGTTATCCTTCCAAAGCAGTGTATTGCACATTATTACTACATCACAGTCAAGTTGTTGAGGTAAAGTTGGTTTTAAATGCTGTCATTCGTTCAGTGACAACTTGTGAGTCCCTATATGTTTACTAATTGAGGTAAAGTTGGTTTTATATTCGCACATTAGTTCATTTAACTGTCTCTATAATGTTTACCACGCTACTTTAAATATTCAGTCTGAAATGGCATGCAGGTATGACTTCAAAACAACATCAGCACTGTTTATACTGTAATAGTCATTGGCTTCAAATATAATTTTACTATTTAGAATTAACACAATACTTTTCTGAAATTATATTATTAAGGAGAATGTCTGAATATCCGAATATAGACCCAACTTTACCTCAATTGTTTACTATTGTACTTTGACTATTCAGCCTGAAAGCTCATGCAAGTTTGACATCAAAACAACATTAGCAGTATTTATTTGACTGTGAACAATGTTGGACTTTGATAGTCATTTGCTGCTAATATGATTTCAGTATTTAGTGTTTGCAAAGAATACTTTTCTGAAGTTATATTAAGGGGAAAGTCTGAATGTGTGAATATAAAACCAACTTTACTTAAATAGTCAAGTTAGGGAGTTGTGTGTTGGTTGGACAGTATATAAAAAAAGCTAATTTAGCTAATTTTAAACATAGCTAATTTAACATAGCAGTTATACAGCGTATACAACATAAAAATGCAGGGTTCCACACAATTCATGTTGTCCCAACACAAATCGATTAAGTTAACCTAATTTTTACAGCTTTAAGTTGAACATAAAACAATTGCGTTGATAGAGGTAAAGTTTTATATTCACAGGGCCCAACAATAAGGACTGCCCGGTGGCCCAGGGCCAGTGTGAGAGATGCTTGGGACAGTAAACAGGATCATTACTGGCCCGATTGGGACAGTACTGCCTTGTCACTAACATTTAATTTGTCTGCAACTATTTGTCAATTGCATTTTAAGTTTGTGCTTTTAAGTCTTTAAACACTACCTTGTCTTTGATGTCATAAACACCATATTGCTTTAAGGTTCCTCTTATCTGATTTGGTGTTTTGAGCATGCAATTTTTTTCCTTAACCTGGTAACAACCAGTACAGAGAAGAAACAGCAACATGGCGGCAACATCAAAATATAAGGCTAAAAGAAAATGTCTGTTTCTAATGTCTTGGAAGCAGACATTTACATGTGAACAACGTAACAAAAAAAAATGAAGTGATGTTTTGCACAGTTTGCCGTCAGTTTGACAAGTCAGCCCACCTTTTGTTAAATAATTTCGAACTGTAATAAAATACCTCCACATTTTCCATACTACTCTTTTTGTTTGCATAACACTTTAATAAAAAAATTTTTAAGCATTAAAATTGTAGATTCACAAACTTTATTTTTGACACATTATTTAAAATTTGCGGCTAAAATATAGCTATAAACTTCCCTTTTTTTTTGGTGGGGCCAGTGAAAATTTTGGCAGGGCAAGTAAAAATCTTAACCACTGGCCCGATCAGATCAGTACAAAAAATCCTTAGCGTTGAACCCTGATTCACACATTCGGACTTTCCCTTTTATAATATAATTTCAGAAAAGTATTATTTGCAGTGTTAATGTTGTTTTCTAGTCATATTTGTAGGGTATTTCAGAACGAATATTCAAAGTGCCATGGTAAACAATATAGAGAGCGTGTTACTAGGGATGACATGATAACTGTTTTCAAGATATACCACGGTTTGGAAAACTCAAGGTTTTGAAACTGCCAAAATCTTCTGTAACACCATTCCCAAGGTATGTGTTGTTATTTTTTTATTTAGGGCAACAGCTTCTCCATCCAAATATGCTATTTTAAATTGTAAAGAAATCCGTGTTTTTGGAACCAATGAAGACAGCAGAAGTCAATGATTCGTTTTAATTATTTAGCAGACAAGTTTACTGCTCTAAAATATTTTAAATCTTTCAAAACATAAAATATATTGTTTTTAAAGGGGAAAAAATCTTGTTTTTTACCCAGACATTAAAAAAATAATATATTTTAAAGCAGTAATCACAATACCGTGAAACCGTGATATTTTTATCCAAGGTTATCATACTGTCAGAATATTATACCGGCCCATGCCTACGTGTCCCAAGTTGTCACTGAACGAATGTATGAATATAAAACCAACTTTACCTTTTTATTGAGTTGTCCCAAAAACTTTAAGAATCGTGTTGATTCAACTCATTTAAAATACACAAAATGCAAAAACCCTTTATGATTGAAGTTAATGCTTGAATGTCTTTCTGCGAGATGTTTTGCATGCTTGTCTATGTGTGGCTTTCTTGTAAACATGCAAATATCACGTCAGGTGTATTGTATTGAAGTATAGTTCATCCAAAAAAAATGAACATTTACACACTATTTACATTCCCTCAAGTAGTTAAACCTTAATGAGTTTCTTCTGTTAGAAACTCTAAAGATATTTTAAAGGAAACTGAAAACCTGTTCCCGTTGACTTCCATAGTTGGAAGAACAAATACTAAATACAGGTTTTCAGCTTTCTTTGAAATATATTCTTTAGTGCTCAACAGATGAAACTCGTAAATGTTTGAAATAAGTAAACCGATAGAGGTAAAGTTAGTTTTATATTCGCACATTCAGACTTCCTCCTTAATAATATAATTTCAGAAGAGTATTATTTGCTAATTCTGAATGGGATCTCATAGTAGTCAATGATTATCAAAGTACAGCATTGTTTACAGACAGTTAGATAGTGCTAATGTTCTTTTGTAGTCATACTTGCATGCTAATTCTGACCGAATATTTAAATTAGCGTGGCAAACAATACAGAGACAGTTAAATGAACGAATGTGCGAATATAAAACCAACTTTAGCTCAATAGTAAACCGTGAGTAATTAATGAAAGAATTGTCTTTTTTTGGTGAAATTTTCCTGTAGTAAGTGAGTCCAGATAAAACAATAAACAAAACCAGATTATTAAAGTTCGTCGGGACAAACTTTGAGGCTGGCTTGTGAAAACCTGTTGGTAATAGTTTATTTAGTTTAAACAATTTTAAAGAGTATAGATAGATAGATAGATAGATAGATAGATAGATAGATAGATAGATAGATAGATAGATAGATAGATAGATAGATAGATAGATAGATAGATAGATAGATAGATAGATAGATAGATAGATAGATGGATGGATGGATGGATCGATAGATTGATAGATAGATAGATAGATAGTCAGAGATAGATAGATAGATAATCAGATAGATAGATAGATAGATAATTAGATAGATTGATAGATAGATTGATTGATTGATTGATTGATAGATAGATAGATAGATAGATAGATAGATAGATAGATAGATAGATAGATAGATAGATAGATAGATAGATAGATAGATAGATAAAAGTGATTGTGGGCGTGGCTAGAAAGTTTAAAGATGATCAGTCATTGGCAAGTCTGTGTAACAATCTGATGCAGAGATATAAAGTCACAAAGTTTGATCCAATGTTAAGTCTATGGGATTTGTCCGACACTTCCAGGACGTTTTTTGGAAAACCGAAAGTCGGATCAGTCGGAAAAGATATAGCATACGGAGTCAGACCAGTTTGGAGGTCTGGAGCATGATTGGTGTTCATAGCTCGGAAGCTCTAGGAGGAGATAGTTGCAAATTTAGTCTCAGAAGAAGAATAATAAGTAAATAATAAATAAACAAGTAAAAATAATTAGTTTAGATAGGATTTTAGTAGTGTGGCTTGTTTCTCAAGCCAGCCTACATATCTTGTGTTGTCATGTAAAAATGAATAAAGCGATTTGCTGTGAAATATGTTACAGACTAACTTCCGTAGAGTGACAATTAGTGACTTATTTCCTCGGTACATTGTTTTCTCATGTAAGCCTTTGTTTGAACATACATTATTATTATATCAATTATATACTAGTCATTAATTATTAAATATATGCATACTTCTGATGAATTGTAATATACAATCAACCTCCCAAAAAGCAACAACATAGTATTGCCCTTGCATGCATAATGCACCGAGGTATTCTTCTTTTAAAACCATTTGTGATTTAAATATAGAAAGTGCAATGGTTTTGATGCCTTTGTGTTAGTAATGCTAATTCTCATATTGTCTTTTTATTTTAAATAATGATAGTTTGCTTGCAATATACGCAATTGCTGTGGCGTTTTTGTGTTGTGCTAAAGTTTTATGATGGAGTATTAGATTAGATTATATCCAGCTTTATTGTCTTTGAGCAGAGTACAAGTACAGAGCCAATGAAATGCATCTAACTAGGAAGACTATATAGCAATATAAATAGCAACAATTATAAAACTAAAGAGAAAAATGGTTTATGCTTGAAGATTGGTTATGATTATATTGGAATCACTGTACCAAAACAACAATATGCTTTTATCACAAAAATACTGATACTCACCAGCAGTAAACTTACTGTTGTATCAAAGCATCAAGGTTGGTTTTACAATGATTTTATTTCTTTCTTTATTAACGTAAGTAACAGGGAATACATAAAACATTAAAATGTGCTAACATTGTGTGACCTGAATACAAATTCTACATATTCATTGTACATCTAGTAACAATGATACAAGAAAAAAAATTGATGAAAGAAAAACAATTATTTAAAGTAAACTGAATAAAAATAAATAAATGTATATCAGAAGAAATAAAACAAATATCTCAAACTATACTTAAATTATTAGGAATCTTACATGGGTGTACTAAAGGCAGGGCTTAATGCCCCATTCACACGGGGCTTCAGCATCAACGCTTGACTAAAGGCGTGTCTGAAGTTGGGGCTGAAGCGTTCGTCATAGCAGCGTCAGCCAATGAAATTCAGTCAGCAACAGGTCACTGTCTAGCTGGTGTATTTGCATACAGCAATCTGATTGGCTGACACTTCCGTCTGCG